GTCCAGGCGCAAGGACACTTCCTAGCCACGTCCTAGACACCTCCGAGACACTTCCTCGACGCTTCCCAGCCACGTCCCAGACACGTCCCAGACACGTCCCTAACCGGCCATGGCCTCGCCGCAGTCGCTGATCGGCTACTTTGACCTCGACCCAAACCGCGTCCTCGACCTCGTGCTCGAGGCGCGAGATTGCGCGAGATTGATCGAGATTGCGCGAGATTCTCCGAGACCGCGTCCTCGACCTCGTGCTCGAGGCGCGAGATGCCTCGAGATTGCGCGAGATGCCCCGCGAGATGGCCCGAGATTCCTCGAGATTCCTCGAGATTGTGCCGTCCCGCAAGTCTCTGTTGGTGAATCTCGACTGTCTGTGCTTGTGCGTCTTGGGTCCGGAGTTGTGCGTTTATGTGAATCATGGCGGAATCCACGACTGCATCAGGCGCTCGAGGCGGTGCCGTCCCGCGCGTCGCACCGGTCGCTGGTCGAGCTCTTCAACCCGCAGGAGAGGGCTGATTAATTATTAAGTCATTAAGTAGTTGATGAGGAATGAGTCGAGCTCTTCAACCCGCAGGAGAGGGCTGATTAATTATTAATTCACTAAGTAATAAATGATTAATGAGTCGAGCTCTTCAACCCGCAGGAGAGGGCTGATTAATTAAAGTAATTAAGTAATTATGAGTGAGTTTCGCTCTTCCTCCCGCAGTACCTGCTCAATTAGATAACAATTAATTAATTAATTGATCAATTATGAGTGAGTTTCGCTCTTCCTCCCGCAGTACCTGCTCAATTAGATAACAATTAATTAATTAATTGATCAATTATGAGTGAGTTTCGCTCTTCCTCCCGCAGTACCTGCCGCACGTCCTCGGCTTCAAGTTCCAGTTCTACAAGGGCGAGGCGGAGGCGACACTTCCTAGACACCTCCTAGACACCTCCTAGACACCTCCTAGACACCTCCTAGACACCTCCTAGACACCTCCTAGACACCTCCTAGACACCTCCTAGACACCTCCTAGACACCTCCTAGACACCTCCTAGACACCTCCTTTGCACGCCAAGACGCTTCTACAAGGGCGAGGCGGAGGCGACACTTCCTAGCACCTCCTAGCACCTCCTAGACACCTCCTA